CCCCCCCCCCCTCCCCCGGATGTGAACACCCAAATTTTCACCAACAAATGCCGTTTTTAACCGTTAAATCAGTTTTTTGGCTGCCATGAAAAATGGGCTAAATGGGCTAAATGGGCCTTTAAGTTAGTTTTGCTGAAAAAGCTGGCCAAAAAGACAGACTTCCAGAAGACAAGTTACAAAAATGTACAATATTTTAATTTGGTGCATGCGCATAAGCCAAAATTTGGACTCCTTTTCTCTTTTGCGATTGCCCGTTCCGAGTTCTTTTTCTTGCCCGTTTCCTTTTTCTCGGCCTTTTTACCCTCGCTACCTTTTGCGTTTAATATTCTTTCTGGCTGCCATAAAAAGGTGGGTGTCAATTATGGTCAAAGCCTGGCAATGGAACCTAGATCAATCATAGATATAATGGGCCATTTTGCACCAAAACTGATAATGTTGCTTTTTAATTTGCTACGTCAGAATGCCGTCGATATCCAAAATTGCGTGTTGTCCGGATAGGTCTATCCTAGCTCTACTGTCTGCTTATCAAGACTATCTGGTGACTTTTAAATTGATGAAGTCACAAGCGGTACAAAGAGCACGACCATTCAGCGCCAATATATGGGATATTGGGCGGAAAAGGGTTAATTGTGCGCTTAATGATGGTACTGTCTTATTAAAGCGCTTGGAATGACGCGCATTGTCCAGTTACACACAGATATCGCGTATAAACCGTCCTGATAACCAATCAGACTCGAATATTTATCTTCGCAGCTTTGATAACTATTATCAGAATTGGCTCATATTTTCTCGGTGATTTTTTTTCATGTCTCCACGAACAGATATCTATACTCCCACCAAGGACATTTACGCGGACTTTTATAGCGAGACAAGTTGAGGCCTCTCAAAATTGCACCTAAATAAGTATTACACCTCTGGTTGACTGTGTGACGGTTTATAGCTCTATGTAGCTGCGTGATGAGCCACGTGACAGCTGCAATTCCTGCTAGGCAACGTGATATGATGATAGAATGGTAGAAATTTTGTCTCACGCTGCTATAGGCCATTTAAAAGGTGATTGCTCTTCCCGTCTGGGGCATTTTTTTTATTTTACTTTCTTCGTGAATATCGTGTCTCGTATCTCTAGCCACGTACCTTTTTGTTTCGAAATTTGTCACATATTGGAAGGTTGTAAGTATGCTTTATAAGAAAGATGTATGTCTATCTGAGTTTGCTCTCCAATATTAAGAGGGACGAGCGCCAGGAAAAGCAAAAGACAGCAAATGAAGTGTGCAGACGGCCTCGATAACAATGTACTTTGAATGGCCTTTTCTTTCTATTTTCAGTGTTGTAGAAACATATATCATCACTCTAGACTTCTGTCAACATCAGATTTGAGATGTGGATACGGTTATTAACTTGCTTTTTGTTGGTTGGAGTCTTAACTTCAAGAGAAAGGTAGGTAATTGCTAAGTTTGATTCAACTTTCTTTGAAATCTTCTGTTCTTTGTGCACTCCCGTCCCCTCCGCACTTGGGAGTCCGGGGTCGAGCGGAGACGTTGGGAAAGAGAAGTCTTGTTTAGTGCGTGGCTCTTAATTTTACAATTTTTCTATGAATACATCGTGAATCTGCGTTGCCGACATTTGCACAGGCAGTGACAAGGGCCCATTGAAACCGAGTTTGTGAAAACATGATAGGAACATATCTACTGAATTTAGTTTGGTTACTCGTGTTTCCGCTTGTTCAGACTGAATGAAAACAGATTTTGTCTGAAATATATTACTAGTGACTTCTAAAACCGCCTGCAGAGATGACAGCTGATGAATTTTAAAATAAAAATCTCGCGAGGGAAGATATGACATTCTGTCACTCGTCGCTCTTATGTATATTATAGGATGATCGGGTATACAAATTGTTTCATAACCTTGACAATGCGTGATGTCAGTGTCTGTAGGCGAAGCACTAGTACCAGTCACTCATTTCTCACTTGTGATTGAGTCAATTGACGCATTTTTGGCCATTACTCTGTGTTTTATCGTGGATCGGAACCAATCGCTTTCGTCTCAAGGGCCAATTAGAGATAAGTGCCATGTCTGGCGTACATTTTAGCACCATTCTCCCATAATCTCGTTGCGGCTACACATGATTGAAACATGCCCTTGTACTCTTAGTACTGGGTAACGTTTTATGGCCATTCCGTGAACTAAAAGATTGCTACAATGCTTTTTTTGTTTATGGAAAAAAGACGATTTTTGTTGGGGTATATAGGGATTAACAAAAATATCAGCGAGAAAAATTAAGGCCTCGACTATTTCAATTTGATTTTGAACGCAATAATTAACGTGGATGAACACTAAAACAGGCTGCACTCAAAGTGAAGTGTTTTCTTGCCGGGATTAGTCCGTTTCCATCGTTGTTTGCATTAGGTTTCCCTCTAGTTCAGGCTCCGTCCACACTACGCCGGAGAAATTTGTCACGCAGCTTCGTTTCTACAGTTAGGCCTTCCGTCCACGCTAATCCGTCACGGAAACGGAGCTTTTCGAAAACGCTTTTCAAGTCAACGGAATTTGAAAACGCCGGCTTTGCGTTTTGGTGTAGACGGAAAACATTTTGAAAACGGAGCTTTTCGAAAACGATGGCATCGAGATAATCAAGTGATTTCCCTGTCAGTGTTTTCCTCAAACACAAATCCAAAATGACTAGCCTGCGAACGCAGACGTACACGTATTTCCGGCTGTTTTCGACGGAGATAAGCGACAGCCA